GCTACACCTCGGCATCGCACAACATTTTCAAGCATGGAAAATCCTCGACATACAAGACAAAAATACCGTGGCATCACGTGATGTGATCTTCTACGAACGACTGACGCTGCAACATTACCTGGACAACGTCGCCAACACAGAAGACCCCACCGACGGTGTCGCACGCCTTCGCTCCTTCGCTGACCGTGCTGCCGAAGCTGACGCAGCAGAAGAAGACGTACCTGGAGCTTCGGAAGCTGCCGGACCACTCCCTTACTGTTCCGTGCCAGTCCCACTCGACGACGACAATCCTCTCGATAGCAACAATCTCGACACCCTTTACCACTTCGCTGACCAAGGTTACGTTACACGTCACCCGGTCGACACGAACATCTCAGAACGCATCGGCCCAAACTTCTTACCTGATCCAGAAGATGGTGACGAAGCAGCCTATTCCAGGAATGAAATTCCCCTCGACACACACCCACGGGACTGCAAATTCTCGGCTTATGGGTCTCCGTCCAGCATCCACCGCCGCCATCTCCGCGCGAGCCCACGACTCTGTCACAGGCTCTGGGGGGGGAACATAAGGCGAAATGGAAGGAGGCGATGGAAAAGGAACTAAAGGCTCTGCAAGACCGAAATACATGGAAGCTGGTACCTGCAACAAGCATCAACGGGAAGAACGTCCTCTCAGGAAAGTGGGTGTACCGCATCAAGACCAATGCGGACGGTTCCATCGAACGATTGAAGGCTCGATGGGTCGTACGAGGGTTCGATCAACGATACGGAACCGACTACACAGAAACATTCGCCCCAGTCTCTCGTCACACCTCCTTGCGCATCCTACTCGCCGTCGCGGCCACGAAGAAACTACCACTGCGCCAAATCGACGTCGCAAATGCTTTCCTGTACGCACCTGTGGACGCTGAGATCTTTGTCGAGCAACCCCACGGATTCACCGACGACCCCACAAAAGTATGCAAGCCGATAAAATCCCTTTACGGGATCAAGCAAGCCCCGCGGCTCTGGCAGCAGCATCTTCACGGTCGCCTCGTAAAAATCGGATTCCTAAAACTGCCGCATGACCAAGGCATGTACCGACTGCAGAAGGGAAGAGAGTATATCCTACTCATCGTTTAGGTCGACGATCTGCTCTATATCGGTTCCACTACCGACATCGCCACCTGGTTTGAAGGGGAGGTGAAAGGGGACTTGACACTCACAGTGTCCGACACAGTGACCCAGTACCTGGGACTGAATGTCGTCGAAGACAACTCGGCGTTCTACCTACACCCTGGAAAATACGCAGGCACTGTCGCGAAGAAATTCGGTCTAACGCCGGCTACGGTCCCGACTCCCTACCACTACGGGAACAACAGCAGCACCTCCGCAAAACTCCCCGCGAAGCAAATCCAGGAGTATCAGCAGAAGCTCGGCTGCCTACTATTCGCAGCAGTAACTTGCTGACCCGATCTATCCTATAGCGCGAGCCAACTGGCGACGCATCTGAAGCAGCCGGAACAAGAAGATCTCGAGGAACTTAATCGGGCACTACTCTACTTCGTCTCCACGCCGACGACTGGGCTTACCTACAGTAAAGTAACGGCATCATCCGTACAACTACTCGGATACGTCGACGCCGACCACGCGGGAGACAAGGGAAATCGACGATCGAGAACGGGCTACATCTACCGACTAGAACCTATCGGGACTATCTCCTGGCAGTCTAGCAAGCAGGAACTAATCGCACTATCTTCGGCTGAAGCAGAATATATCGCCCTATGTACTGCGACCAAGGAAGGACTCTACCTACGAGAGTTGCTCGAGGAAGCGAAGATTGCGACCCTGCCCGTCTTCTCACTCCTCTGCGACAACCAATCTGCGATCAAAATCGCGAACAAGGACGGCTTCGCCAACCGAAACAAGCACATCGCCCTGCGGTACTTCTTCGTCAAGGATGAAATCGCAAAGGGGAGACTTCAATTCAGTTACTGCCCTACGACAGAAATGGCCGCAGACTATCTGACGAAGAAATTGGCGAAGGCAAAATTCGATTACTGCACGCTGCTGACCGGGCAGACAAACGTCGCCGGATCTGAACACGTCAGCACTCCAGAAACGAAGGGGAGTGTTGGAAATACCTCAAAGGACTTAAGCGTTTCTGAAGTGTAACACTACACTCGAGGAAGATCGCAACCAGGGTTTCAGCTAGGATTTTAGGCCGTCTGACGTTCAGACGGGGTTTCAAACTTTCGTCTGACCATCATACGAATTTTTTTTGCCGGTCTGGCATTTCAGACGAAACATTTGGCACGATCTGACAATTCAGACGAAACGTTGCGGGAGTTTCAGTATATAACAATGCCGAATGTGCTACATTATAATGCTACACAAACAACTGTTACACGTCGTTAGCATCCATTGAAATTGCATCGTATATGCTAAGAATAGTTGGAAAAAACTCTAGTGCTACTGATGCTCCACTACCACAACCTACATTAGGAATTAGCCTTATATTAAACCATGCTGTGCCATACCATCATCTGCCTACTCGGAGTCTGAACTATCACTTCCGACCTCCTCGATGTCATCATCATCACTGTCGCTCTCTGAGACTTGCACCTTCTTGCCCTTGCTTTTCCTCCTCCAGATTGGGCCAGCCGCACCATCCTCTTCAAACACTCTGGCTGCTTCTGCTGCTGCTAGCGCTTCTGCCTGCCTGGCTGCTTCTGCTGCTACCTTTGCCGCCTTCAATGCCGCCGACGTCTTGGGCCGCGTCACCTGCCGTGCGGTCTGATCCATGACAACTTCCTTGGCAGGTCGCCGCTTCTTCGTTCCACGCCAGCTAGCCACCATACTCCCCCAGTCCATCGGGTAGTCGAGCAGCGACACTGTCATCAAGTGGCCTAGCTTCGCATCACCGAGATTGCCGCGCTGCCAGCTTTTGATGACGTTCTGGCGGCTGAACCCGCGCTCACACTCCACTGTGCTGAGCGGCAGCACGGCACAGGCAATCCAGATGAGAACCAAATTGGGGTAGGCAGTCATCCAGTCCGGCGTGGAGAGCACGTTCTTCAGCGCATCGTGGAAGCCCAGCTCGTCGTTGTGTGTCGACATAATGGTGGTGAAACTGACGAGCTCGGCCTTCGCCTTGCCCCAGTGGACACCTGAAGGGGGGGTGAAATAGAGGCACAGAAGCCTTCGTTAAATATCTCAAGCAGAAAACACCCGAGCCATGGAGACACTTACAACCCCTTGGAACTCACCCGGCAGAGTGTCGGGCGCTGACGTATCACGCTTGTAGAGGCCGCGCAGAGACTGGAGCCATTCGAGAAACTTCCGCTGGCGCCTCGCAGTGGACTTCGGGTACATGGTCTGCTTGAAAAGTCTTGTGCCGTTGAGCTTCGATAGATCCTTGAGGCGTCCCTGCAGGTGGTTGATGACACCCTTGACGACGTCCGTGGCGAGCTGCTGTAGCGACTTCAGATCCCCGTTGCTCCGCTGCCCATCCAGCGGCTTTGTGTGTAGAGTGTACGTGTGCACAGTCGGCGCCCCGTGTGCGTCAATCCCCTCGATCGTCACGTCCTCGCCCCCCGCGTACAGATGCAGAAAGTCGGCGAAGTCCCCGTCAGGTGGGCCGAACTGTGTGTTGTAATTTACGTAGCGTGCGCGCAGTGTAACGACAGTGTTGTCGACCATCCGAAGAACCTGGGTGACGTCGACCTGCCATACAAAGACAGAAAGGGGAGATGGTTTTGCTCGTTAATCATCACTCTCCTAAAACTGACGACATGACACCATGTGGCTTACCTGGCGATGCTGGAACTTGAGGTTGAGCGTGTTCAGCTCCCGCAGCATATCCGCCAGAAAGTACAGCAAGAAATGAAATTTCAACGAGACAACTACGTGATACATCTTCCTATCATACTCGTACAGCAGGAGGATGGCCGCGGGAAACACATCAACAAGCCGTTGGATAGCCTCACCGCGACTAAGCCAACGTATCTGGTGAATGCCTTGCATTTCGAGGTTAGTTTCAGTGACGACTTCCTGCAGCTCCTTGAAACGGTTGTGTACGACGATGGACCGGCCGAGCACCTCGGCCAGTGACCGCACGACCTTGTCGACGATGCCTAAGTCCGGGAAATCATCTGCAGTGTCCTTGGCAGCAAGAGCCTCCCTGCAGATTAACAGAAACACTTTATTAGTTTCGAAATAATCTTTTAAAATATGCATTGTTATAGAATGTTAGAATCACCTATGCGCGATGCAGTGGCAGGAAACCAGGTGTGGAATACGGGTGCGTAGCCTAGCCACGAGGCCTGCCTGCGCACCCGTCATCACACTGGCTCCATCGGTGCTGATGCCGCAAATCTTGTTGAGCTTGATGCCCTGAGACTCGAGGTGGGTGAGTAGAACGGCCTGCAGAGATGCGGCGTCACACTTCTCGACGGTGAGATGCCCAAAGAACTCTGTCACCACCGTCGTGTCGCGGAGGAAGGTAAGGTAAACAATCATATGTTTACCCCGCCGGCGGTCGGTTGACTCATCGAGTTGGATGCCCAAGAATGGTGAAGCCCTGATGTGGGTCATTTGCTTAGCTCGCAGGTAAGTGACGATGTTGTCGACCACCTGATTGAAACCGTACCTGCGCATGCATAATAGTACAGTGTCAGCCTTCTAGAAAGCACGTAACAAATCAACAGTATATCGGGTTGGTATCACGTATAACACTTACTCGCTCTGGTAGGTACCGTTGTCCTTCACGGTGTTGTGTGATGTCATCATATGCTATCACATTCTGTCTGCCTCCCATCCCATATTTTTCAACTTGCATGTGTGGTTTGAACGTGTGCAAGATTTGTGTGTGATGTGTTCTGGAGTTTGGGAATGTGTTTTGTGTTATTTTGTTTGAGCAGGTTTTTTGTGATGATAGATCTTGAGAAGATCTTTCCGACGCAACGAGAATCCCTTCAATCGGAGCAAGAACGCGAAAGCTATGAAGATTCAAAGTTCATGAGCTTGCGTTACAATTGCGGCGGTTACAAAGTGAAGTTGTGGGGTGACTCTATATGGAGTTGGGACCTTTGGGGTTTTGGGAAATTTGTCACTCACTGTAACAGCTGCAAATTGGTTGGGAACAACCAAGCTAGGTTGGCAAGGGTGGCCAACTTGGATGGATTGGTTGGGAAGGGACAAATGTCAAAGTTGGGGTTCCTATAGGGAGGGAATCTTTGTGCTTATGGGGTTTCCTTGGTTGGGGACTCTCTTGGGACCTTCCCTCTCATCCCTCTCTTCCTATCCCAACCTTTCTCTTGCTCCTTCTAATTCCTTGTGAGATTCTTGAACTTTGATTGAACTCTTGAGATTGAGTTAAGTTCTCCTCCTACAGCTTACCCCCTAGTGCGTCGAAAGCCATAGCGTCGCGAATACTTCATCAATCAACGTGATTCAAATTGGGAACGGTAGCTGAGATCAAGAGCTACAACATATCCAAGTTTCGCGACATTCCAACGGCTAGTGTTTTGTCGACGTCGTTTCTTGTGAAGACGACTTTTCTGTCCAGAATTTCGGATTTATATTTTGAGTAATTCTAGCTCCTAAGTTCACCTAGACTCTGTCCTTAATCCTAACAAGTGGTATCAGAGCGATATTAAGGACATTGAGAGGAGTCTACAGAAGTGTGAAGACCCTTCTAGACCCACCATGGCCTGTGGGTGTGCCTAAGTGGTGTTCTAAAGGTTGGATGTGTCTTCCGCTAAGGGAAACTCTGCCGAAATTTCGTGGACGCCGACACTTGTGAAAATATCGAGGGAGCTGAGTGTGGACAGCAAAGGGGGGCTGAAATTCGTCATTCTCAAGGAGAAGATGAATGAGAGAGGAGGAGATGCTAATGGAAGAGGAGCTGTAGCTGAGAAGACAAGTGAGCCGCCGCCATCAAAAGTTGAAGCTTTGGATGGCTCCAACTATGAGGAATGGAGCGGACGGATGAGGAGTGCCTTCAAACGCTACAAGCTACTGAAGATTGCTGTTGGGGAAGAGAAGATGCCGGAAGAAGGCGAAGCACGCGAACGGTGGATTGAGAAAAGCGCGGTGCTTTTCGACCTCATCCTTCAATCGGTCAACAAGGAGATGTTCGAGCACATCAAGGATCTTGTGGAAGCGGATGATTCGGGTCCAAGGGCGTGGAAACTACTACGCGATGTGATTCAGCCCAACACTCTCCCGATGGTGATCGTGCTCGAGAAGGAACTTGCTGCCATCCCATGCGACCAGGGGACGATGTGAAGCCGGTCCTTGACAAGATCAAGGACACCTATGCAAGGATGGCAGCAGCGGGCAGCAGTGTATCTCAGCTGCAGCAGTGCACCAAGATCATCTCGGTGTTGGACAACTCGTGGGATAACCTCATCCCCACCCTCAACTCTCAGCAAGATCAATGGACACCTGAGTGGCTAAGGCAGCAGATTCTGCAGGAGGACTTCCGCAGACGCCATGTGGGAGGCGGTGCTGCCACTAAGACTGCTGAGGGGTATGGAGCTGCAGGGCGCGGCAGAGGAAGAGGGGGTTGGAAAGGCCGAGGCCGTGGGAGAAGCTTTGGCAGAGGTAGAGGCCGAGGTGACTATAATGAGGGGCATGGGAGCTCCAGTGGCAGGGGGAGTACCAGAATGGAGGGCACCTGCTGGTACTGCAAGAAGGTCGGGCATCCTTGGTTCAAGTGCTTCAGCCGGCGGAGGGATGGTCACCTCCAGGCATGAAGCCGCCAAGTGGTGAACGCGCACAAGGTGGCGCTGTGCAAGGCTCAGGTGCACAAGGTGAAGGTGCACAAGGTAACGCCTATCCTGGGATGTATCTCATGGTTGAGGATGTGCATGGGCATGAGGGTGATGTGGGATCTGTGGAAAGGTTGTGATGCACCCTCTCACGCACTGGGTGATTGATTCAGGTTGCACCAGTCACATGACCCCACGGGCAGATTTGCTTGATGAGGTAAAACCCCCTGGGAAGATCAAGTATGTGGCAGCAGCGTCAGGTGCTTTGCTCCCTGTCATTGGTGTTGGGAATGCCAAGGTTAAGGGAGCTAATGGGGAGCTTGTGGGGCTTGGGAATGTTCTGCTGGTTGAAGGCTTGTCTGCTAACCTTCTCTCTGTGCGCGACTGCAGAAGAGCAAGGCCGAAGTGACCTTTGGACCAACCAGCTGCCGTGCTAAGCTTGGGAAGAAGGTGCTGTGGAGTCTGGAAGAGGAGACCAGCTGCATCAAGGACCTGTGGCAGCTGCCCATCATCCCTTGGAATGGGAAGACTCCAACAGCAGCAACGGCAGCAGCGGCAAAGGCAACAGCAGGAGGAGATGCAACTGCACCAACTGATGGGGTCCTGGAAGCAGTCAAGAAAGTGCAGCAGCAGCAGACACATAGTGAGGTGCTTGCTGATGTGGATGCGAGTGCGGCATGGGCTAAGGCTTCATCAAGGAGTGGTGAGGCCGATTGGGAGACATGGCATGAGAGGCTGTGTCATGTGAACTTCCCTATGCTGCAGAAGTTGGTGAAGGATGGGAGCCTGAAGGGCTTGGAGGTGAAAGGGGGAGTGAAGGAGATTGGGAGCTGCCCTACATGCTTGGAGACCAAGTTCTCCAAGTTCCCCTTCAACAGCACTACAGGACCAGCCAAGACCCCACTTGCACTTGTGCACATGGATGTGGTGGGGCCCACAAGAGCCCCTTCCCTCTCAGGCAGCCGCTATTTCTTGACAATTGTGGATGACCACACTCGGGCAGTGTGGGTTTACCCTTTGAACAGCAAGGGGGAGGTGGCAGCGGCTGTCCTTAAGGAGTGGATGCCTAGAGCTCAGAGGGAATGCGGACACAAGGTGAAGGTGATCCGCAGTGACAATGGTGGGGAGTTCATTGGAGCTGATTTTGAGGGGGAGTTGAAGAGGAAGGGGATCCAGCATCAACTGACAGTGCCCTACAATCCGCAGCAGAATGGCGTGGCTGAGAGGTTCAACAGGACCCTGCAGGAGGGGGCACGCACTCTCCTTGGGCGTGCAGGGCTGCCTGATCCGTTTTGGGTGTCTGCACTGAGGCAGGTCGCCCTTGTGAAGAACAGGGTGCTGGCTACAGTTGGAGATAAGGAGTGGATCCCATATGTCAAGTGGTATGGGAGTGCTCCAGCTGTGAACATGCTGAGGGCATTTGGGTGCATGGTGGTGTTTCATGTGCCTAAGGAGAAAAGGGGGAAGTTGGAGGCTTCTGGAAGATGGGGTGTGCACTTGGGGATTGCAAAGGATCACAAGGGGTGGCTGCTATGGGACTTGACCACCCAGAAGCTGACAGTGTCAAGGGATGTGAAGTTTCTTGAGTCCCTGTACTACAAGGAATGGAAGCAGCAGCAACAGAAGCTTCCATCTACACCACTCATTGTGGAGGCAGATGAGGTGCAGCGGCCTTCAAGGCAGGTGGAGGTTGCAGTGTCTGAGGAGGAGATGTCTGGGGTGACTGAAGAAGGGGGAGCAGCTGAAGTGGAGCAGCAACAGCAACATGAGTCTCCATCTCGAGTTCCACACCCGCCTGAGCGACCTAGGAGGGATGTGCGCCCTCCGGTGAGGCTGACCTATGGGGGAAGAGGCAAGCCGAATGTGGTGCAGGCTGGGAGTGTGGTTGAGCAGATTGAGGAAGATGAGATCGCTCACTGCTACTGGGCACCAATCCCTGAGCCCAAGACTCGAGAAGAGGCCTTGAATGGACCAAATGGGGAGAAGTGGAAGGCGAGTGAGGATGAGGAGTTTGGGTCCCTGATTGAGAACGAGACATGGGACCTGTGTGACTTGCCTCCTGGAAAGAAGGCAATCACTTCCAAGATGATCTACAGGCACAAGTATGGACCTGAAGGGGAGCTGACCCGCTACAAGTCCAGGCTTGTGGCAAGGGGGTTTCAGCAGACAAAAGGGAAGGACTATGATGAGGTGTTTGCTCCTGTGGGGAAAGGAACAACACTGAGGGTGCTGTTAGCGATAGCTGCACTCCTGGGATGGAAGATACGGCAGATGGACATTGTGACTGCTTTTCTGAATGGGATCATTATGGAGGAGGTGTACATGAAGCAGCCAGAGGGGCTGGATGATGGGAGCGGCAGGGTCTGCAGGCTGAAGAAGGCAATCTATGGCCTTAAGCAGGCGCCTCGTGCATGGTATCACAAGTTGGAGGAGGCGCTGGTGGCTGGGGGTTTCAAGAAGAGTGAGTGTGACCCCAGCCTGTTCCTGCTGCAGGAGAAGGACGAAATCCTCATGCTCTTGGTGTATGTGGATGATATCCTTCTCTTTTCTGCATCAACTGTTTTGCTGGACAGCGCAGAGCAGATGCTGGAGATGCAGTTCAAGTGCTCCAAGATGGGTGAGGTGAAGTACTACTTGGGGATGCATGTGGAGAGAGATGTGGAAAAGGGTGTGCTGAGGTTGCACCAGAGGAAGTACTGTGAGGGGCTGGCTGAGAAGTATGGGCTGCAAGATGGGGGAAAGCCAGCAACACCACTACCTTCGGGGTTCACTGTGGAGCCATGTGCTGATGAGGAGGTAGTGGGTGATAGTGACAGGAAGCTGTTTCATTCGATGGTTGGGTCGCTGAATTATGCTGCAAATCATACACGGCCTGACATTGCATTTTCTACATCACGGTTGGCTAGTGTGGTCTCACGCCCTAGTCATGAGCAGCTGGAAGCGGCCAAGAGGTTGGTCCGCTATGTGAGTGCTACGGCATCAGTGGGATTGGAGTACAGTGGAGTGAGGCAGCGGTTGCAGAGAGGTGCTGCAGATGTGAAGAGTGGAGAGATGCTCTTGAGTTGCTATACTGACGCTAGCTTCAACTCAGTGAAAGCGGATGGCACCAGCATTGGGGGTTATGTGTGCTTGCTAGGAGGTGGTGCTGTGAGCTGGCGCAGCAAGAAGCAGAATGAGGTGGGATTGTCCTCATGTGAGACTGAGTACATGGCCTTACACCATGGGGCCAAGGAAGTAGTGTGGCTAAGGCGTTTGTTGGAGGAGTTGGGAGTTGGTCAGAAGGAGCTGACGGTGATCTTCTGTGACAATGAGTCCGCTGTGAAGCTCGCCAAGAATGCTTGTCTGCATGGGCTGACAAAACACATAAGGCCTAAGTGGCATTGGGTGAGGAGACTCCTTGATAAGGAGGTGCGGCTGGAGATAGTGAAGACCCATCAGCAGGCAGCAGATATTTTCACTAAGCGTCTGGCGGAGGCGGATCATTGGAAGGGCATGAAGCTTGCTGGGATGAGTGTGCATTGAGTATGCATGCTTGAGATGTGGTATGGTGGATGATGGTTGGCAGCCAGAGGGGGAGATTGTTGTGTGATGTCATCATATGCTATCACATTCTGTCTGCCTCCCATCCCATGTTTTCAACTTGCATGTGTGGTTTGAATGTGCAAGCATTTGTGTGTGGTGTGTTCTGGAGTTTGGGAATGTGTTCTGTGTTATTTTTGTTTAAGCAGGTATTTGTGATGATAGATCTTGAGAAGATCTTTCCGACGCAACGAGAATCCCTTCAATCGGAGCAAGAACGCGAAAGCTATGAAGATTCAAAGTTCATGAGCTTGCGTTACAATTGCGGCGGTTACTAAGTGAAGTTGTGGGGTGACTTTATATGGAGTTGGGACCTTTGGGGTTGGGGAAACTTGTCACTCTACTGTAACAGCTGCAAATAGGTTGGGAACAACCAAGCTAGGTTGGCAAGGGTGGCCAACTTGGATGGATTGGTTGGGAAGGGACAAAGGTCAAAGTTGAGGTTCTTATAGGGAGGGAATCTTTGTGCTTATGGGGTTTCCTTGGTTGGGGACTCTCTTGGGACCTTCCCTCTCATCCCTCTCTTCTATCCCAACCTTTCTCTTGCTCCTTTAATTCCTTGTGAGATTCTTGAACCTTGATTGAACCTTTTGAGATTGAGTTAAGTTCTCCTCCTACAGCTTACCCCCTAGTGCGTCGAAAGCCATAGCGTCGCGAATACTTTATCAATCAACGTGATTCAAATTGGGAACGGTAGCTGAGATTAAGAGCTACAACATATCCGAGTTTTGCGACATTCCAACGGCTAGTTTTTTGTCGACGTCGTTTCTTGTGAAGACGACTTTTCTGTCCAGAATTTCGGATTTATATTTTGAGTATTTCTAGCTCCTAAGCACACCTAGACTCCGTCCTTAATACTAACAGAATTGTCGCTGGCTGCTAGGACTTAGCCAGATTTTATAGGTTGCGGGGCGGGGTGTGTGAAAGGACTTAACTCTGGCCGTTGGGGATTTGGACGAAAATTTTGGGTGAGGGCAGGTAGTTATGTCTGTCTCAGGGTCCGTACGCGCTGTGCTCTGAAAACTCAGTATCCACAAACTGCCAAGTCTGAGATTCTCAGGATTCAAAAACATATAACTCTGAAGGGTTCAACATTCAGAAATTGGCAAGTCTGAAAATCCCGGATCAAATAGGTCTGAAATTTTAGACAATCAGACTAAAATAGTCTGATAAAATCAGGCCAGTCGCGAATCATGTCGCATGTATGCGACCAGGGTCCTCGACATCAGACAAAATCCGTCTGTTTGTCTGATTTTCAGACTTGTTTTTAGGCGTTCATATGATTTTTTAGAAACCCAATTATTGAATTTTTGATGCCCTAGAAAGTGATTTTGTATCCTTCTGATATTTCAGAATGGGTGTACGCATCCTTCTGATACTACAGACTTAGCGAAATTTATCATCCAAAACGGATCTCTGTAGGTTGCATGAGGATCTTGATTGGTCCTTCGACAAAATCACCATCCGATACCTGCGTGAGGGGTGTGTGAGTGGCGCCAACAGGGACTTCACCAAAATTTTCGCCTTATGTAGAAATTTTGACAAAGGCCCGATTAGCGCCCTCACAACCCGATGCGTGCTGCAGTCTGTTCGAGGGCGCTAGTTGACCCTTAGCTAATTCGTGTGGGGGAGGGGGATCACCTCTGGCTGACCCTCGCCAAACAATGTGCGTGAACGCAACTTGCGAGGGCCTTGCCTCACGCCGGCCCCCTTCAATTTCAATCCCCCGCCCGACCTCCCCCCCCCCCCCCCCCCTTGCCAGGGTTCTCGATAGCCCCCCCCCCCCCCCCCCTTTTCCGCTCCCTTGGGCCTGATTCATTGCGTTGGCAGTCATCCCACCAATCAAAACCTCTCGCGGCATTGAACCCCCGTACCTTCTTTCGTGCACGCCCAAGCTGCCCAATGACCTCGGCACTAGGAAACGTTCTCAGATATTGGGACGTGGAGGCTAATATGGCCCTTGTAGGTTAGCATAGAAATTGAAATTATGAACTTCTGAAATTTTAGAAACCGCACTACGATTCGCCCGGAGGGCCCGTCTGATGGCCTAGAAAGTGCCTAGAGCCTAGCGAGAGCCCTGTATGCGATGTACCGTATTCCCCCGGATACACGCCCCTAGGTGCTTATAGGGATTATAGTCAAATTTTTGGGGGTGCGTTTAATTGGATTTTTTTTATATGGCACGTGTCAACTGATGCATACATTTGCATGTAGAAGTTATAGGCTAGAATAGGTGTGTGTTTTTAGAGAGTACAACCCAAACCCTATATCTCCCTTGTTCTCTCTTCTTTCTAATCATTTCTAGTATTCTACCATGGTATCATGAGTAGGTTAGGTCCCTTCCCTACCCGCTTCCGCCTCGCGCCCAAGCCTACCGCGCCTCGCCGGCCCCTAGAGCGTCCGACGGCCTCACGCACCCAGCTGGCCCCTCTCGCGCCTAGTCGGCCCCTCACGCCTGGCCGGCCCCTTCGCGCCCAGCCGGCCCCTCTCGCGCCTAGTCGGCCCCTCGCGCTGTAGCCGGCCCCTCGCGCTGTAGCCGGCCCCTCACGCCGTAGCCGGCCCCTCGCACCTAGCTGGCCCCTCTCGCGCCATAGCCGGCCCCTCGCGCCCTAGCCGGCCTCTTGCGCAGTAGCTGGCCCCTCGCGCCTAGCCGGCCCTTCGCGCCCAGCCGGCCCCTCTCGCCGTAGCCGGCCCCTCTCCTGCCGTAGCCGGCCCCTCTAGCGCCTAGTCGGCCCCTCACGCCGAGCCGACCCCTTCGCGCCCAGCCGGCCCCTCTCGCGCTGTAGCCGGCCCCTCGTGCCCTAGCTGGCCTCTCGCGCTGTAGCCGGCCCCTCGCGCCTAGCCGGCCCCTTCGCGCACAGCCGGCCCCTCTCGCGCCGTAGCCGGTCCCTCGCGCCATAACCGGCCCCTCGAGCCGTAGCCGACCCCTCGCGCCTAGCAGGCCCCTCGCGCTTAGCCGGCCCTTCTCGCACCGCGGCCGGCCCCTCACACCTAACCGGCCCCTCGCGCTTCGCCGCCCCCCCCCCCCCCCCCCCCCCCTCGCGCCTAGCCGACCCCTCTCGCCTAGCCGGCCCCTCTCGCCTAGCCGGCCCCTCTCACCCAGCCGGCCCCTCATGCCTAGCCGGCCCCTCCTGTGCACTGCCGGCCCCACGCACCTTGCCGGCTCCTCTCTACGCACCGGCCCTTCCCCCACCTGCCTAGCCTTTCACACGCCTGGTCGGCCCCTCGTGCGCCTCGGCCCCTTGCGCGTTCGCTGGCTCCTCACGCGCCCACCGGCCCACTTGCGCCCTCCTCGGCCTTCCGCCCGGTCTCAGTTTCGGAGAGTCCTGCCGCCACATCGTTGTGCAGCTGAGTATCAGTGTCCCTGTGCCGCTTTGCCCCTGTGTCCCTGTGCCACTGTGCTGCTGTGTCCCAGTGCCGCTGAGGTTGCGCGATGGCTGACGCCATGCTACGTCAGGACGCGCAGGGGCACGCGATCGACTTCGCCGCCTGGCTTGTCGATCTTCGCCGGCAAATGACAGGTCAGCGCCGGGATGGGCACTCCCTGGCTATGCATGTTGATGGCTTGCTTCCCCGCCCCCCCCCCGCCTGATCCCCTCCCTGCTGACCCCACCATTGCTGAGAGTGAGGCCTTTGCTGCTGCTGCACTCGCTCACGCTGTCTAGGATTCTCGCAATGCTGTACCGCAGCTTGCCATTAGTCATGCGCTTCCCCTATCTGAGCGTCCCCGCTTCACTGCTGTAGCAAACGCCAAAGACTTCCTAGATGCAGTAGTTGCACGCTACTCCAGGCCTGCCTCCGCCTCAGTTGGACGCTTGATCCTCCCCATGCTCTTCCCTGATCTCTCTGCTTTCCCCACTGTCGCTGATCTCGCCACTCACCTCCGTGCACTAGAGACTAGCTACCGCGCTGCTAGCACGACTGCCCAGCTCACTGCCTTCCCCCCGCCGTTTTGCGCTACCCTGTGCCTTATTGACATGCGCCTGCCTGACTGCTTAGCCACTGCCCGCGACCACTTTCTTAGCCAGCACCCTGGTGACCTCACCCTGACTACCTTTGTCACTGCCCTTTCTGAGATAGAAACTCGCCAGCGCACTATTGCTCAGTCGAGCAGTGTTGCGGCAGTCCCTGTCTTTCAGGGCTGTGCTCCCTCCCAGTGCACGTACGCTGATGTTTTCGCCACCATCGCTACGGCTGCTCCTGCCATTGAGACCGCAGCGGCGGCCTTCCCGCAGCAGCAGCGATAGCGTCGGGGCCGTCGCGGCCCCAAGGGAGGGCGTGGTGGTGGTGCTGGTGGTGGTGGTGGTGGCGGCAACAGTGGTTCTGACGAGGGGGCTGGGGCAGGTGTCCAGGAGCAGTAACAGCCGCATCAGCAACAGTCGCAGCAGCAGCCGCAACAGCAGCAGCAGAAGCCGTGGGACCGCCTCCCGCCGGGGTGGCCAGGAGACCCTGGAGGTGGTGGCCGAGGAGGCGGTCCTCGCAGCTCGGCGTCTACCGGCGGCTTCGATGCTGTGGGCTACCAGTACCAGCTCCAGACCGGGCCCCTCCGTGGTATTGTGTGCCGCCGTCCGCACCCGATCGCCCGCGGCTTCCGCCGCCTCGACAACCTCTTCCGTCGCCGCTTCGGCCTGGCCCCGGACCCCCATGATTGGCCCAGTCTGCTGCACCACCATTTGCCTGTTTTTGACTTAGACATGGATCAGATTAGTTCTGCCCTGCATTCTCTGTATGCTGACGCTTCTAGTTTGTCTGGAACTTATTACCCTGTGTTCTCTAGCTTAGACGTAGCACCTGTGTGTAGTACTGCCACCCCTGTTCCGTCAGGCATAGGACCGTTTGCTTTGTCTAGCCTAGGCTCTACGCTTGCTCCTTCTTCGTCCACCGCTACCGCTTTGCTGTCCTTCACACTTGACTCCGGTGCGTATGCCTGCTTCTTCTGCGACCACGCTGCGCTTACGCCGCTTGCCACGCCTACCACTTTTGCACTTCCTGACCCCTCCTCTGGTCCTGTAGTTGCTCGCAACTACACAACCCTTCCCTGTCCAGCAGTTCCCTCAGGTTCCCTTACACACCTGCTCATCCCCTCGTTCTCCCGGAACTTACTTGGTGTCGGCTGTCTTCAGGATCTCGGCGTCACCACAACATTCCTGGGTCACGAGCGGTACGCCGTCTGTACCGAGGCCGCCTCAGGTGCCCCCTTGCGACATTTCCCCGGGACCCGGTGTCTGGCCTCGTTACGCTGGACACTGCTTCTCCCCTGGGTGGGGCGTCCTGCCCGGGTCCTGCGTCTACCCAGGTCGCCGCTGCGTGCTCGTATCGATCGCTCACTCACCCGTCACTTCTGTGGCACCACCGCCTAGGTCACCCCGCACTCCCGCGTCTGCGTCACATGTCACAGCATGGTCTCGTCCTAGGTCTCCCTGCATCGCTTCCTGCCCTCCCTCCCTCGCCCGCACCGCCGTGCACGCCCTGCGTCGAGGGCCGGCTTCGCCGTGCTCCTCACTCCTCGCTTCGTCCTGCCACCGCACCCCTCCAGACCCTGCACCTGGACGTCTGGGGCCCAGCCCCCGTCCCTGGACCGCGTCGCAAGCGCTACTTTCTAGTTCTCGTGGACGACTATACGTGCTACACCACGGATTTTCCCTTGGAGCCGAAGGCCGACATGCCCGACGTTCTTATCCCGTGGGTCATAGCTGCGCGCCTCCACCACG